CTGGCCCAGCCCTGGAAGGGGGGCCGGGGGGGCTGTGTGAGGCCTCGCTGCTCCCCGCAGCCACCTCACCTGAGAGTGCGGGGAAGATAGAGCTCTGTTCTCAGGGGTGCATGGCAATAGGCAAAGGTTAGGACACAGGAAATTCTAGTTGTAAATAAGGGGAGGTAGGTTTTATCGTTTTTATATACCATGGTGGTGGTCAAATACTGGAACAGGCTGCCTCAAGAGGCTGCGGATCCTCTTGTCTTTGGAGTTGTTGAAGGCTCAGCTGGGTACTGCCCCGAGCAACATGATCTAAACGGACACACTTTAAGGAAGGGGCTGGAGTAGATGTGCTCTGGAGGTCCTTTTCACCACAAATTATTATGTGGGTCTATGAAAATTTTACGTATTCTATTTTTAGTGGTGAATATTTAATAGAGAACTAATTACATTGCATTAGGTAAACACAAGAACTTTTAATTTATTAATTTCCTTGTTAATTCATTGCATTATATCGATGTTTGAGCTGAATAACGTGCAGTTACGCCAGGTTAACGCCCTGCTCTGAACAGCCTGCCTCACTCACTCAAAGCAGCTTGTGAGGAGTAACCTGATGGGCTGTGACTCTTCGCTCTGTCTCACCTATCAGTCAGCACTCAGGAATAAACAGCAAGCAAGAATAACCTTAAAGCATGTCTCTGCACCTCTGCAAGCAACAGCAGGCAGCCAAAGACTGCAAACTTCAAAGCGTCAACAAATACTGACTTACTAATTAGTCATATCTGACAATCAATTCCTATATAGCGCTAATGGTATTTCAAGCAGATTGTCTTTAAAAGCTCATCTTTGCTTTCAGCTTTTTAGCTGAAAACTTCCCCAAGCATGCATGCATGCATGCATGCAGTGTACCAGGTACTCGATACAAGGCACTCACAGAATCAGGATTTCATATAGTTGTCACTAGCAGAGGTGGCTTTCAGTAGTGTTTTCAGCCTTCACAGAATCACAGAATGGTAGGGGTTGGAGGGGACTTCTGTGGATCATCTAGTCCAACCCCCCTACTGAAGCAGGGTCACCTACAGCAGGCTGCACAGGACCTTGTCCAGGTGGGTCTTGAATATCTCCAGAGAAGGAGACTCCACAACCTCCCTGGGCAGCCTGTTCCAGTGCTCCGTGACCCTCAGAGGGAAGAAGTTCTTCCTCATGTTCAGATGGAACTTCCTATGCTTCAGTTTGTGCCCATTGCCCCTTGTCCTGTCGCTGGGCACCACTGAAAAGAGTCTGGCCCCATCCTCCTGACACCCACCCTTCAGATATTTGTAAGCATATATTAGGTACCCTCTCAGTCTTCTCCAGGCTAAACAAGCCCAGCTCCCTCAGCCTCTCCTCATAGGAGAGACGCTCCATGCCCCTCCCCATCCTTGTAGCCCTCTGCTGGACACTCTCCAGCAGCTCATCTTTCTTGAACTGGGGAGCCCAGAACTGGACAGAGTACTCCAGATGGGGCCTCACTAGGGCAGTGTAGAGAGGAAGGAGAACCTCTCATCTAAAAATCCATTTTAGATGATTAAAAATTCCTTTGCCTGTAACACCAAGGCGTTTTCCTTGCTCTCTCTCCCTTTTGAGTTTCTGGTGGCTTCACTTTCGAATGTGTTAACCAGTTTAAAAGCCTCCAATTTAATTCTAAACATGAGTAGCTCCTATGGTTTAATAGCAAAAAGCGTAATTTTTTGGAAGACAGTGGTGCAAATTCCACTAATATAATCAAGCTGGACCTATTTTAAATGGGTTGCAACCTTGATTCAAACCTGTATCTATTTTATTAATATTAATAAAAGTATGATGTAACTCAAAATACAACCCGTAACCCAAATTGCCCATTACAAGCATTGTGTTTTTGAAGCCCAAAAGAACTGCAGGAAGGAAAACTATGAAAAGACAGCTGCTTTCTTGACTTGTGCAGTCAGATAACAAAGCAAGCCCTCAACGCTAACAGGTAGTAAGATGTGGCACCAATAAACTGAGCAGTATCCAATCCAGAAAACAGAGGTTTGTTTTCTCCTATTACTGTCCATCAAAACAATGGCAAAGCTTGGGCTCACTGCCTACACAGTGTAATTACTGAAGTAGACAAATACTTTACATGAAGAATTTAACAAATGACCACTCCCTCTAGGACTGGAAAACTACTAAGGGAACCCCTATCTGTGTTCTGGAAGTTAAATATGAACCTGAATGGGACTGAAGTAAATGGATATCATCAACTGCATTTGAAGCTCATTCAACCTGTTTGTTACCAGTGTTGCAAGTGCTGCTAATTAGATCATAATTGCAGAAGAGTAGCTGTATTGGGTCAAGAAACCCATTTAGCTTAGTGAGTGAGTGCAAAGCAGGATCTTTACAGCTCTCCTTTTCCTGACAGCAGCTTCCAGGAATTCATGGCTTTGCTACTTCCTCACCCAGGAGTTGCATCTGAACCTTTGTAACAGCCATGTGGTCTGTGAAACCATCCGCTCCCTTTTTCAACCTATTTCTTTCATCCTCTACAACATCTTGCTATGTGCATTCCACAACACAAGAAGAGCGTTAGCCTTTTTAAGTCACCGACAGTACTGCCTCGCACACCATTTAGTTGAACTTGGAAACCTCTTTTTATGCCATTTGACATAGATGTGGAATAAACTTGTACTCATGTCCTGTGTTGTCCTTCAGGCAAAAACAGCTTCTCAAACATCAGCTCCATCTTCCCTGCCACCTGGGTCATTCTTTAAAGACTGATGAAATGTGTGCTAATACAGCAGATTGTCTAAGAAACCAACTGTTTTATGGCAAGGTGGTTTTCAGTCTGCAGCAACAGACATGGTTGTTTCATCGATTAATTCTCTTCAGTATGTCTTCCACAGTTGAAGAGAACATGGCACAAGTTATGAAAGTTAGTGAGATATTTATTCAGCGTGACAGTTTGGCAAGTTAGCGCTTCCCACCAACACGAGGAGCAGAAACCTTGACAGGTTTCACAATCTTCTGCTTTGGTGCTGCCTTTGTAGGAGCCTGCAGAAAAATAATACAATATGAGCAAAGAGAAGCAATTTATCTGCAGTCCTGAAAGCATCCCTGTGTATTTAAGATTCTTGACAGAAATCAGGCAATTTAAATCAGATCAGATTAAAATTAGTTTAGAATTACAATCTATCAGATTAGAATCATGTTAACAGGTTGTTACACACATACCACTGTAAACCTACAACATGTATGATGCCAACATTTGGTATTAATTCATAAGTAATAATGAAATAGATGCTAGCATTCATCAGTATATTGTTACCAAGTACCTAGATAGTCAGGAAGATGTCACATCCAGATGAGTTTTGAGCTATGTATGAAGAATCTCTGACATATGGTCACAAAGGTGTTTTACTGTAATACTTATTTCTTCTGTAAAAAAAGTTCTTTCTATTCAGCTGGGTACATTTAACTTTTGTACTAAAGTTTGGTCAAGGTGCTTCCAGATCAAAATACGTAAGCAAATGCTTCTTCCAAACACAAATGGGAATTTCCAATTAAGCGCTGCAACAGAATGTTGTGTTACAACACGGTACATTCCATTTCATGATTCATGTCCACCTATTGCATCTTACCTTGGCAGCAGAAACAGCCGTTTTCTTGGTTGCCTGCTTAGCCTTCTTGGCTTCTTTTGCAGCCCTGTTAATTGACAGAAAAAGAGGAACTGTTATTCGTGTCTGCCGTTCACTGTTTCTTTGTCTCAGCTCTGCAAAGACTCCCCAAGATCAAGAAAGCAACACATCATTTCAGGTGTAACCTCTGCGTTGAGTACCCTCTAGGGAGACTACTACAGAGACAGCAGAACCGTGTATGACAAAAGCCGTATTTTCAAAGAGAGGTTAAGAAGACACCCTTCTCGGCTGCTACTATTTCTTGCTGAGATTACTTGGTATTCCAACCAACCAACCAACCCACCCACCCACCAACCCACAAAAAAAGCTTATAAAACACAGAGCTCATCTAGAGTTTAAGCTCGCGTATGAAAAGCTTTAATAAGCTTTGAAAAGTCTTGGATAGCTCCATTTAGCTCTGATTTCTCACCTAATAGCTTGTTCCCTCTGCGCCTTTCGTACTTCGGGCTTCTGATTTCGTTTAGCCATGATCTCAGCTAAAGATGCACCAGTGATAGCTCTCTGAAACTTAACAGCACGACGCGTGCGCTTCTTTTGTATCTCTTCCTAAAGTGGCAGGAGATGAAGACAGACAATTTGTATCACGGCATTAAATAAAAGGCTAAAAACAATTATAGAAGCAAGCTGCTATTAAGTCTGAAGCTATTATAAAACTCCATACAGAAGTAGAATTTTACTCCTCACTTTGGAGATAACCGATTTCTTGACTTGCCAAAGCAAATAAATAGCTAACAATGTATTCTTTGCAAGAAAGGAAAAAAAAGTATTTTGGAAGAATGTCAGAAGTTTAGCCTTCTGCAACCACCAAAAAAAGGAGGAAGGTATAAAGTCTGCTTTGATGGAATGGTCCAAAAGGAAGACACTTCTCAGCTGTTTCAAGCGGGATCACAGTGCTGGGCAGCAGTGTAAGCCGTCGGACATCAACATTCCTTCTCCAAACAAACTGGTATAAACATTGACTTGTAACTCGTATGTAAGCCTTTCTAAATGCTCTTTTTGTGTGCAAGTTTAAGCAAGAGCACTGAAAATACCTCATGCGACATGCCTTTTTAATCTTTTTCGTGCAATGACAACTGCATAGGAAAGACCTCCTACAAGTTACAGCCCAAAGTTTTCAAGAAGCGTACCTGAAAAGTTCTCCCACCCTTTAACCCCCAAATCATCTGTTTGGAAATATGATCCACCAGATTTTCTGTGCTGTCTACGCGTAGAGAACAGCGCTCTATGCTGTCACCACTCAGGAATTTTACAAGTCCAAACTTTTAGAAAGTCTAGATATTAAACAACATTACCCACCTTCTGTAAAATTAATTTTTTAAAACATATGCCATTCACACAAGCGTTAAAATCAACTGTATCTACTGTGGTTCTAAGTGAGCCCTCAGTAACACATAAAGCAACATGTAAACTCATGTAAATGCACTCACATTTTCACTCTTATTGGCCAGTCTTCATCCTGGTTGTATGGGTCATGCCTCTCCTAAACACCAGCGTACTCAGGCTACCTCTATTCTAACAGACCACATCTTTTGATGGAAAACTTTAGACCAGCATTAGCTGGCATATACTTACTGACTGTCCTTTCTTGTGTTTACGCCTATACAGAACAGTCCAGTTGATCTGACGGGGGTTTCTCTTGGAAAGGAATGCAGACTCGCATTTTGCATTCAAGAACTGAAAAACCTGGGGAGGTAAATTGTTTTGTGTAAGCTTTGTTTCTGTGAAAGAAGTTACGGCAGTTTACATTAACATATCAAGCAATTCTTTGATTCAGCGTTTTTCAGCAGTAATGCTTTTGTATTTCTTTACACAGCTCTGACAATCCAAAATTTTAGAACATAATTTAAGACATTTAAATTTTGGAACTTTGTTCCATTGATTAAACTGATGTCTTACGAGGCATTCCATTACAAGAAATTTTCCAGGCCTAATGTAGTTCTCTCACAATAAAGCCTAATGCAGCAATTTTTGTTTCCATAACACAATGAAGGAGCTTGTTTTTTCTGAGGAAAACCTCAAATTACCACTTGCATCCACTGCTGCACTGCATGAACAGCCATATCCCGCATCAGGCTTTCTAGGTGTCTGTCCTCAAGTAACTATGCGCTTCCTGTACGTGTAAGCGAGTCAAACCATGGCATAAAGAACACACGGAGACCAATACTCCCCCAGTTCCTCCTTGCATAGTAACACTAACCTTCTTGCCTAGAATAACAGGCAAAATTAGCTGATTTATTATGAGCCACACAATTAATTTTGGAGTGTTAAACAAATTCCCAGGAGAGCACCTGAGGATTCAATCACTCCATTTACTTAGCTCTCACTTCCCAGGAGATTCTGTACAGCAAGACTACTGTACTGGGATCTCCAAACCCCAAACCCTTCTGTAGATATGAAAGATGTATTTCTATTTACAACAGTGCTACCTGCATGGGGTACGAAAGCCGGAGAGGGCTCTCCTCCCTGTTTTATCCCCACGAACCCTACCCGAACTACCTGCAAACCCAGCTGTTACCTTCAGCAGATCTGAGCACCAGATGCACTATCTCCAAGCAGCATTTCCACAGAACTTTGGTACTTCAGAGCAGGTGCTTAAAGACACCCTTTCCAAACCACGACCTAAAACCCGACTGGAAACCCCCAGCTACAGCAGCAGCACGGTTCCCGGCGGGCC